CAAGTAGAGAAGACTGGGACTTCTTGTCACACATAAATTGTGTGAAAAAGTAAAAAGTGTGACAGCACTAATCTGAATGCCACATCAGCACATCTATTCCCTCCATTTAACACTCCATTGCTTTACTATATCTTTTTTTAAACTGGCTGTATTGGAAAATTGCAAGCTAGCGCTCAAATCACCATCTTGTTTTTAATCCTTTTGGAAACCGCTTCCCTCCTGTCTAGTGCTGGTGGATCAGTTCAGAGTAACACTGCCTGCCTAAACCGGAATAATTTTTGTCGAGTTACGCTCAATCTTCTCCCATTGACCACTGGAAAGGCTCCTGCTGAGGATTGACAGGGAAAGCCTTTGACAGGCGGATACCAATAAACAGGGAATTACCCTTTCAGAGAAAATAGCTCTGTAATTGTTGGGTGCGTTCAAGCTCAGCCACAAAGAAAAGGCTAGAGTGGGCCTGTGCATTTTTCTGCCCTGCGTCAGGGTTGTAGATGTGTCAGCAAGCCCCTCGCTCTTGTGCGCATGGCTGTGGCTGTCTGCTTGACTTGGCCCGCTGGTGGAGGCCCAGCTGAATGTTTAGTGGTTGGCAGGCTTGGACGCTTGCCTGTATAACTGGAGTTTGAATGAAAGGGGCCTTGTGAACTTTTGGGCTACTGTGGCATTTTCCAGCTGCCGAGCGAAGTAATTAAAAATCTCTAGCTATATTGCTGAAACGTGTAGGATTACAGTGCTCGGTTTGCTGGAAAGATATTGTGTGACTATTTTCAATCTTGATTCTTGTTCCTTTATCTTGATTTTGTTCATGGCTCTCTCTGGTTTCATATGCATACATTTGAACTTTGCATCATTGAATCTTTAACTTCAATCTGTTTACTGCCAGTGATGCTTTTTAAATGTTTTTTTTAAATCTGCACTTGTTTGCAATTGTCTCTGACAAAGAGGCTTCTTGATTGAGAAGGAAGTTTTTGCTTAGATTGAAACTCGTCTACAGTATACAGGAATTAAATGGACATGATAAATTTGGAAATATTAGGGATTTTTCAAATTAAAAATAAATTCTTATTAAAATCATGAACTTTATATAAATAATAATAATTATTATTATTTTATATATAAATAGATAGTTAGATTAGCTAGATATATTTAGAATGATTTAGAAGTATATAAACAATACTTATATTCAATACTATTACTAGTGCAACAACCTCTACTACTACTACTAATTATTATTATTGCATGATTTTTATATGTACATTCTTTGAAAAAACAATCATTATCATGCAACTTATATTTATTATATAACATATATTATTATTAAAAGCTGTGCCTTGTAACATGGAAAAGCTTGCAACTGTTACTCTGCAGTCTGACATTAGCTTTTTCTTCTTCACTGATAGGGTGTATCTTGCCTACTACAGTTACTGAGTAAATTAGAGCTGCGGAAAACATGGTGACAGATGTCTTACATCACTCTCATGTGATTGGCTGTGAGTTTTTTTTTTTTATTGTCTGTGTGAAGTCTCATTACCCACTGCCCCTGGAAAAGAGCCTAATAAGGCAGACAACAGTGCAGTTTCTATTGAACTGTACAAAGAAAAATAAAGGTCTGCACCACACGTGAAGACACCTGCTTGCTAATTTGTATGTCTGCAGAATGCTCATGTTGTGCCTTTTTTCAGTCGGAGCAAATATATGCTCTGATTTTGATGTTGAAAACCAATTGGGAAAAAAATGTCCCTCCAGTGGGTTGAGCCCTAAATGAATTATTCAGATCTGCATGTTGTGTGTTTTGCCGGCCCATTCTGCTTAATGGCATCTTTTATGGCATGCATCAGAGACGACTCCAGATGCAAGACAGCCTCGGCATTCCAGCTTTCTGCATTTCTCAACTACTAGCTTTCTCACTGTGTGCCTGAGAAACAAAGCTTAAAATGCTGGAATTCATTTTACTTTTAGTGTCCCCTTAATAAACGATTCGCAAATCAATGGCTGCTTTTGTCATGTAATTTGTTTCTGTGCTCAGTTTTGTGATAATGTTTTGCAAGCAAGGCTCTTTGGATCAATATGAGATTGAGGGGAAAAACACAAGCCTGGCTTTTATTTTTCTCTGCAGATATTTGGAAAATGATGCAGTTGGTGCATTATCTCATCCAGAACATTTTAGCTTCATAATGGAATGCTAGTTTTCATTCAGATAGGAACAACAGAAGTGTATTTGAACATGCTAATGAAAGAAGATTCCTATTAAAATCTATTATAATTGTGTTTACATGCTTGATCATACACTGATTATTCTTAATGATGTGTAAGTTAATTTGAATGCCATAAAATAAGCTTTTATCATGTAAAGGTCATTACCATTTAGGCAAAACAGGCACATCTTCAATGTCCAAACCAGAGAAAACCCACACATTGTCGGTTTTTATAATGAGCTGATTTTCGACTCATCAGCGCTTTGTTTTACATGTAACAGCCCTCATCGGAGATGTGCAACACCTCTGTAAGTGTGTTTTCTTCTCTTTGTGTGTTTGTCTGTGTTGTGCCTGGTCTTTCCTCAGCTGCACCTGCACTAATTGTAAGTGTGCAGCTGTGATGTGAGAGCCGTACTCCAGCTGGGAGAGCTTGTTGAGCTGCCACAGAAACCCGGCGAGCTAAACACCCCAGTAAGTCTCTCCTTGACTCAGCTAATGAGTGTGGAGCACAGACAATGCACCCCAATCCAGCAGCCCATCTGAGTGCCACTGCAGTCCAAGAACCAGAGGAGGTCGGCTATAGACTGCTCTCAAGTTGTGCTCTGTGACCGTGAAAGTGTGAATAATCAAGCCTTTGCTGTCTCGGCCTCCTGTATCCCGACTTTGTCTTTCCTTTATTGTTAGTATCAGTCCATCTCATGGGTTTCTCTCATGCTGAGTGACTCCAGATCAGTCATCCAGCCTGAAGGTCATATTTTCTTCATAAGTAAATTATACTTGTTGCTCTGTCACGAAGGTTTCATGTTCATGCAGGGTTTTTGTATTAATTATTATTATAAAATTTGTCTAATTGTTTTTTAAATGTTTCAGAAAGACATTCAATTATATTTTCTTTATAAAAAATTATTTATTTTATTATTATTGATACATTTTATATTAATAATTTTTTTATTATAAAATATGTAAATGTTTTAATTTTTTTACATTTCTAGATTTTTTAAATTATTTTTAAAAATATTTTTATAAATTTGATTATGATGCTGGATGTTTCATCAGATGTGGGTTTCGATAACCTAATTGTACCAATTAAAACGTTAATAGCCCATTGAAATCTGGAGCAGTGGCAGTCCTTAAGGAATAACCTATAGCATCCTCGTGTCTAAACCTTATTTCAGTAAGTCCTTGGGCATCGTGTCCGGAATAACACTGGTGGATGTTCTCTGTGTAGGACGTTAATGTGCACTTCACATTTTGTCTGTTCTCAAATGCTTCATGCAAGTACTGTGGAGCATTTGGTTAATTAAAAGGATATGTCCAATTTAATTTGACTCAAAAATAAGAAAATAAATGAGTAGGTCACAGCGTCCAACCAGATTTGAGTGTAATTTAATAGCATACTGTGTGGAAGTTTTTATTATTTTATTATTAGACACTATGACCTGACACAATTACAATATTCTGGTAAATCAAAAGTGGTATGTGGGTATTAGAAATACAGTCAGGATAAACAAGTAAATTAATATTCAAAGCATGATCCCATTAGGATATCAGTAGTTTTGCTTTTACAAAAGCTGACTTGAAATATTCATATCAAATTACATCTATATGGGTCCATAGGGGTTGATAGCAGGGATTCAAGCAATAAACACACCTAATAGTCCCTGCACTCCAGGCCGAGAATCAGACACAGATCCCTTTAGATTATAGTCCATTAATTCAGGCTCAATGACAGTTGCATGACAGGATACGGATGGTGGAGCTGTAGAAGCAGATGAGAAAGATAAACAAAGACAGAAAGTTTTATATGAACAGATTATTGCTGCCTTCAAGTCATGTCAGAATTATCGTATTTTACGAGAAGCGTGCACATGTGTCGTAAGTGCCAGTGGGAAATCCTGCATTTTCTTTGAACTCTGACTTTTTGAATCGAGATTGTGTCCATTAAATAATCACAGTGGATGATTTTGCTTATTGGTTATAATTGAGCTGGAGTTAAGAATGTTGAGTGTACAATTTAGTTTTTGCATTTCTTAGTGCTACATTAGTCCTAAAAAAGCTTCCAGGCTTTGTCTGCAAATTACATGTTCTGTTTTTTCCAGAATATTTAATGGTGTCAATTAAAAGTTGTAAAATGACTTTCAAACTCGCAAGATGTTGTATGTTGTTAAATCTCATTGTGTGATTTATTCCGTTGTAGATAACCTGTGTTGTGGTCTAGACGGGATAATAAATGTTTGTTGTTGTTACTCAAACCACGCCCCCCGTGCATACATTAGCATTACATCAGCATTAAATAGACTAACAATTTAAAATAGACAAACTTTTAAAATTTAAAATGCAAATTGCTAATCTAATATTTCACATTACAAAACGAAATTCTAAAATCCACAAGCATTTAGTTCGATATCTTGGGATGGTCAGTTTGTTTGAGTCAGTGGATCAGTTGGACCAGGCCAGTTGTCGGATTATCTTTTTTCTTTTTTTATGTTGATAAAGACAGCTTTTTTCTTGTAATTAAATTTGGTTGTTGTTTATGAAAAATATTACAGTTGCTGTTCTATATCATCATTGCTATAATGTTTAGATTGTCTTCTATACTAGCTGATAAATGCCACTGATCATAATGGTGCATGATCCCATGTGCAGAATGAGTCTAACCGTGTGCTTCCTTTATTTAGCAGTGTGACATTATCAAGCAGGGAAGGTACAGAACGGGGGATTATGAATACTGAGAAGAACATATGTAACCGTGCACACCATTTACTTTGGCAAAGATTAATATAATGTATTCTTTTTTTTAAATTCCAGATCACTTCTATGATTGATGAGGGATATGTGAGTGAATTTGCCAAACACTGAACAAAGAAATCTACTGCATCCTCCGGTAAGTGCTTTGACTGATGATCCTTCACTGCTCATTTCTGCTAATGATTGTTCACCTAATCGCAGATTTGCACACACATGTGCCGTTCGCATGGTGTTATCTTCAAAACAACTTTCCCGAATTAACTCAAGTGGCGTAATTGGTGCTAAAAACGGGAAAGCACGCACGCTATCGTGTCAGACGTTCGTATTTCTTGAGCACAGTCAAACAACGAATTTATTTAGTGTTTTTGAGCAGAAACAGAACGCTCTGTATAACATGAGTCATAATTAGCAGCGGGACCTCTCAAATCACTCGCTGCTTTGTTATTCCCCTTACAACGTCATTGTCAGTTTTTTTTTGCGTGATTTATTAAAGGCAGGCACAGTTACTGAGATGTGAGATTCTTTGGAAAAAAATGCGTTTTAGCAGGCAGTCAGAGACATTCGTCTAAACAGCACATGTGGCATAAAGTGTTTCATCCTGAGCCTGTAATACGTTCACCGCTTTCTGCCTGTTCTTGTGTACTGATGAGACATGGAACAGCTCGAAGGTGAAAATATGTTTTTTTTTTAAGTAGCATCTACATTATGCTAATGAGTTTGCAAGGGGGCGGAGTCATAAAGGCCAGATTGCCGGGAGAAGAGGAGCCTGTAAATTATGGATGCAAACTGCCATTTCTACCAGGGCAAAGAAAAGAGAGGCACTAGGAGAAACCACAAGTCATGCATATCAGATTATCCTTCCTTTAGCCCTTCCGCTCCCTCACTTTTACTAAATTTTCTTATCATGCTTCTTGAGCAAACTTGCACACACAATCTGGGCTGTGTCCAGTCTCCAGTCACATGAGGTGCTGACGAGCTGGAATGCTTGGCCTGGTATTTCCTGATGCTCACCCACACATGTACACAAACACACACTCGCATAAACACACAGGGCAGGCTATGTATTTGTAGATGGGTTCATGTTTGACTTGGTGGCAGAGTGAGTGGCAGAATGTTGAAACAAATTTGTTTCGTTTTTTTCTTTTAAGCTTTGTAGAGGATTTTACAAAGCTACCATTTGGTTATTAGTTGAGTTGAGATACTTATTTTATTTATTGCAGACAAAATGTATTGCCGTTCAAAATTTTTAAATCGGTACGATTTTTGTTTTTAAAAGAAGTCTCATGCCCACCAAGGCAGCATTTATTTAATCAAAAATACAGTAAAAACTGTAATATTGTCAAACATTATTACAATTTAAAATAATATTTTTATATATTTTTATAATTTGAACAGCTGTTACTCCAGTCTTCGGTGTCATATGATCCTTATAAAATCATTGTAATTCTTATTATTTCTTCCTCTTCTTTATTTTCACTTTTGATCAATTTTTTTCAGCAATTTTGCTGGAAAAAAAGTATTAATTTCTTTCAAAAGACGACAAAATCTTACTGACTCCAAACTTTTAAACGGCGGTGTATGTGTATATATATATTAGGGGTGTAACGGTACACGTATTCGTACCGAACAGTTTCGGTACGGGTCTTTCTGTTCGGTCGGTACGCATGTGTACCGCACGAATACAGTTTTTTTTTAATTTTTTTATTCTTCTCAGGAAATTCAAATAATAAATGGCGTTTGACCGTCTTTTATGTGGCACGACAGATAGCTGTATAAACGCTTTAGAGAGCCGCTTCTGGGATGGTTCAGAAACGTGCTGGTATAATCCCAACACAAGATCTGACTAGAGCGGCCGCGATCAGCTCCGGTTCCCGTGTCTGAGCCGTGACGCCCCGCTGATTTGTGCAGAGCGGAGAGCGAGTGAACTCGATCATTCCTTCCTCTGTACTACTAGTTTTAACGCGAATAAACATGACTGAACATCTCATGCCTCATGTAATTGCTCAATCAGTGTTTCAACCGCAGAAAGACATCAACACTACAGCATGGAAATAAAACACAGCTGGTTAGTTCACTTGAGAAATTAAGTCTAGAGAGGAGCATTTTGCGAAATATTACACCATATACTCATTATATTTGAATAAACCTGTTAGTCTTAATTACTTAATGTACAGTATGTTTAAATTAATCTGTTATGAAACATGCTATGACAGCCATTGTGTAATTGAATATATTTTAACAAATAACTTAGAAATTTTATTATTTATAAGTTAATTTAAAAACTGCATTATGTGCAATTTACATGTTTGCATACAATTTATTTATTTTTTTTAAGTTGAGTGTTGATCGTCTATTTAAAAATAAATAGCAATTAAATTTAAGTTTGGGTTAAGTTGTTATGCCTAATTGTAACCTTATAATGTAAAAGGTCTCCCTATAGTTTTAAGCATAAGCTGATAAGATTTTTATCACTTAGAAAATTTTAACTATAACTGAATGTATTTAAAGAAAGAGCAACTTGTTCAGTAAACCATAAAAAAAAAAGTTTAGTTTTTCCCCCTGCTGTACCGAAATCATACCGGAACTGTGATGTTAAAACCGAGGTACGTACCGAATGGTCATATTTGTTTACCGTTACACCCCTAAAATATATATATATATATATATATATATATATATATTAGGGGTGTAACGGTACACAAATATGACAGTTCGGTACGACTATACTTTCGTTCAATCCAAGCTGTGTACATATTTAATTTTAAAGGGCTTTTGAAAACCTAGAGTTATTGAGCCAAGTATAACAACTAAGTTAGCTAAAAAATTTTTTTTAAAAAGCCCAGAACTGCTTTTCTGACTAATATGACACAAACAATGTTAACCATTTGTACATTCTCTAACACGTATATTTTAGATTCACAATTCATTTAAAAGCCTCTGGTGTGTAAAAATAGTAAATATCATCATGTCCTCCTGTTTTTTTTACTCTAATGAAAGTTATAGGAGCATTAAATAGTTAATAAAGAAACTTCATTCTAATGCTCATTATATTAGTGTTAGCCGCGCTTATGCTAACGATTAACTACTCTAGTAACAGCGTTCATTTCAATACGACATTCAAATTAAAATATTGAATAATATTCATAACAGAACAAATATAAAACATTTAAATGAAACTTACCTGCTTGAACTCTTTCATTTGATCTGGGTGTCTTTAAAGTGTTTTGTTAGTTTGGTGTGCTTCCTCCTTTTGATGTCACCACGTCTCAGTGCTTTTATGAAGAGAGTGCATCTGCGCACCTTTCGGATAGTGCATCAAGAACCGGGTTGACCGGGTACTCTGTACCACCGTTACTTAAAAAAAACCTGATACCATAACGTTTTCATTTTTTTTAGTACCGAAGTGCCGGGACTTTAGACAACACTATATATATATATATATATCATGTGTGGCGGCAACCAGGTGAGGAGTACAAAGACAATTGCGTCTTGCCTACAGTCAAGCATGGTGGTGGGAGTGTCATGGTCTGGGGCTGCATGAGTGCTGCCGGCACTGGGGAGCTACAGTTCATTGAGGGAACCATGAATGCCAACATGTACTGTGACATACTGAAGCAGAGCATGATCCCCTCCATATTCCAACATGATAACGACCCCAAACACACCTCCAAGACGACCACTGCCTTGCTAAAGAAGCTGAGGGTAAAGGTGATGGATTGGCCAAGCATGTCTCCAGACCTAAACCCTATTGAGCATCTCTAAAAAGCAATTTATTTAATTCGAAGGCCTGTCGTTATTTTTTATTTGTGCTATCCTTATTAATTTCTTTATTTGTTCTTATTTTATTACTGATTGCTTACTTGTCATTTTTATTCAATTCAAAGTTTGAAATCAAGCTGTCTGGTGCTGCTGCACCAAAATTACCCCACTGTAAAATAAAAAAAACACTGAGTGAGCAAAAATTTGTGAGATTAATTTTTGAGCTAGTTATAATGGTAATTAAATAATGTTTACATATGTATAAAAGCCTACATTAAAATCCGTCATATAAATTGGTCTCTTCATTAGAAATTAGCCTACTGATTGCCACCATTGATGGACAAATTTTTTTAATAATATTAAAAATATCTGTATGGCATTATATTCTGCAGTTCTTCCCTTTTCAAATTATCATATCGAAGTTAGAAATTCAAATATTGTGACAAAATAAATTTTTTAGGGTGCCACAAGTTTGTTAAAATTTCCAGAGGGTGCCGGAAGGTTGGGAAACACTGGTTTAGACATTAATGGCTGTGTGTTGAGTTATTTTGAGGGGACAGCAAATTTACACTGTTATACAAGCTGTACACTCATGTGGCGAGGGGAGCGTGGTTCAGCGAAGTCTGCAACGGGAGAGAGTGATGGGAGATGAGCGGTGAGTAAGTAGGTCAAGTGCAAAATGATGAACACCTGTGTCTGATTGCAGTAATTAGCCTGGAGAGACCGGATAAAAGGTAGACTGGAGAACGTGGTTGGGAGAGAGATACTATATATATATATATATATATGTATGTGTGTGTGTGTGTGTATATATATTTGCTTAAGTAGATAATTAACATCCTCTCTGATAAAGGCACTTTATAAGTCTTATTTACAAAAAGATTGTATGAAAACTTACCATCTGTTCTGGCATGTGACGATTGATGTTTGTGAAAGATTATGTATCATTTAGTTTTGTAATTGGACACAATCTTCACCAAAGGGAGAAAAATCAGTCTATATAAAATAATTTAATAATTCCAAGGCTAATTAATGGCTGCATGCATTTTAAAAGCCTTTCACAAGGTAAAATCTTTAAAATTAAAATCATTAAAATCTTCTTAAAAAGGTCTGTTTTCAACCTTCACTCTTATTCAGTGATTCATTCTGTTATGTTTTGTTCCCACCTTCACAAAACAGGGGAATTTCCTATAGTGGTGGGTTTCAGCGAGATCAGGTCAGAAGTGGGTGGATCTCTGTGAAAGTATATGTGTTTGTAGGGGAATAATGGAGCCATTCTTCAGCTCTATGGAAGCCGCTGTACAGTGGCGTGTGGTGGACCTACCAGAGGCACTAGGGTCTCCTTAAAATAGCTTCAACCCTCGAATGTCAGAAGCTGAGACTGCACACCGAACACTGGCCATTTGACCGAGAGCATCAAATAAATCTTTATGAAGTCCTTGAGATTTTTCCTGCAGCCAGGAAACATCCTGTCTTAAGTTAATCATGTTTTGATTTTGATCTAATATTGAAACGTGGCAGTCTTTTGACATTTGTGCAGGAATAAATTTCCGTATCATACCACAAACCCACAAATCTGTGTGTATGCATGCCAGGCAGATCCAGAGAGCTGGCAGGTTGCCTGTCAGGATGTTTGTTGACTATGCGGTTAGGATTATTTTTGCTATAATCAGAATGATTTCATACTAAGTCACATGTTTGACATGGGTTCATGATTTCAGTGATTAATTTGACTGCTACTTGCACTACATACAGTAGCAAAAAGCTCAGAGAGAATAGAAGCAGGGATCAATCCGATCTGCCCATAAGTGGCATAAGTAAACAAAACTAACAGGATATCTTGGTTTATGTTATGCAGAAGAAAAAAAAGTCATACATATTTAGAATAACATGAGGGTAAATGATTTGGAGTGAACTATCCCTTTAAAATAATACAAATTTACTTGAGAATCTATATACCATAACATATTTTAACTGTAAAATTAGACAAATAGGCCTACTCATGAAGAATAGGATTTAGATTGTACATTGTTCACTTAAGCTAGTTAATGTTGAACCATTGCGCCATTACTACTAGGGATACATCAATCCGATACTCAGTATCGTTATCGGCTCCGATAATGGCATTTTCTGCTAGATCGGGTATCGGTCAGACGAGACTGATCCAAATCCGATATTGGGCGTATACTATTCTTTGTTATTGTTAAGCCTCACGAAAGCACAAAAACATTATAAAGCACCATAAAGTCAAAGTCCAAGTGTTCTGAAGCCGTTCCATAGTTTAATGTGAGGTACAGATGAATATTTAAGTCGTTAAATTCAAGTTGATGTAAACTCTTCTCTCCACTGCAGCTGTCTGTCATCCTCCATTCAGCATTCACACCGCGGGTTACGTTCGGTTACGACAGTCAAAACAATGAAACTCTCTGCAAGAGTGCACAGTAACTGAAATGTAAAACTGTTAAAAGAAAATGCACAATAAACTATCGCACAGATTTAATAAACTACGCATCAATATCTCTTTCCTTTGTGCTTTGAACTTCTCTATGCATAGCGCTGCGCATTGTGACTGCTTCAAGTGCTTTGTGCTGCTCTGTATTGGAGCTTTTCGTATTATAATTTATGAAAGATTATTTATAGCGTTTCTTGTTCTGTCCTAAGATAGGACAAAAAAAGAAAGGCTATAAATAATCAAATGTATAGCACAGTATAGCATATATTGCTGCCTTCATTACTGTGCTATACATTTAATAGAAATGTCTTTTAATTTTATAGTTTATATTTATAAATAAAAATACATTTACTTGTTTTCATTCATGTATTTTACAACAATACAAGGAGCAATGTGTACCATTTGACCAGATTTAGTCCTACATTTAATCACTTTTATTTGTTCCCCACTAAATAATATTATTTCACTAAATGTTTAGATTTTATAAAATTGTGCACTCATGATTTTTCTAGAATAACTTTTGCTGCCAAATTATCCACTAACCTAGTTTATAATAGTATTTTTGTCACAGATTATGATATATTTTTCCATGTTGTTTTTCATTCAAATGAAGTTGTCTATATATATATACTCACAACGGAGTGACGATCAGGTCAACACACAGAAGTATAGAAATTCTACAATGATTTGAAAAAAAAAAACTGCGCTGGTATCAGATCAGATCGGAATTGGCCGATACTCAGAATTTTCTGGATCGGATCTTAAAAAATTGTATCGTTGCATCCCTAATTACTACTCACAGAAAGCAGGCGGTAAACGGGTTTGTTTACATTTCCGATTGATTGTGACAGTATAATTCTTCATATGATGATCAGATGATGGAGAAGAGCATTGGAACTTTCTATATATCCATATGTGTAGACAAACTTTTGTAATTTTAAAGAACTGATTTAGGTGTCTGCAGTGGTGGCAGGATAGTCCCAGTAAAGTATGTCAGAATGCGATAGGTTGTCGTGTCACCTAGAACCATGTACAAGATAGGGATCCGGGCATGCAAATTGTTTTGTACAGATTTTTTGGTGTTCTTCTACCATTACATGCATTGCACAAGTAGTTTAGCACAAAAAGCAGTGCAAACAATACTATCAGTGTGTGCAGCTTCTGTTTTGTCCTTAACCTTCTGGCAAAGTTGATGTTGTGACAGTGGTATGGCCGTGTTCAGTGTTCGAACTATATCGTGGACTTTGGGGGAACCCACTTGATTTTTTTTATAACGGGGGGTGGTTCGTGCGCTTGCAATGTCTTACAAAGATACATAACAGCTACAAGTGTATGCACTACTTGCTTTATGCAAGCACTATATAGGACATATCACTACAGGATTTACCCTATTATACTTTATCGACACGAATTGATAGGTGAAACAGCAAACAGCCACCCACAAATAGTCTATAAACAAAGCATCAGGCTGTCTTTGAGTTCACATGAACAACGGTTATCGTAAAGTTAGTCGTCGTCAGGCTACAGAAGAATACCATAATTAGGCCTAAGACATCGAGAGTCATGCAGACCTAGAACAACCCAGCCACAACACTTAATTGCAAATAACATGCCTTACCCTTAACACAGAATTGACCACAGAGTCCAACGTTTATATTTTTTCTACGAATCTTTGAGTTAACATGTACTAAACATGAGTGGAATTTGCACCGCAGCGCCCCCACACCTTGATGCTCATGACAAGAATAGCATGTATAGTTATCTTTATTGAAGTGAATTAGGTTTAAATCGCCGTCATGCATGAATGAACGATATTTTTTGCAATTTTACACATAATAATCCACGATGATCACATTACACAAAACTGAAATTGCATGTCAGGGGAGCCCATGTCTTATTAATGGGAGCCGAGCTCCCCCGTAGTTCGCACCCTGGCCGTGTTAACGGAATAATAAAGTTTACTGTAGCAGTTTGAACAACAAATGAATTCCTGGTTGGGCCACCGGTGTTACGAGCACCTTGCGTGCTTCACCCTGTGCCCAGGTGAGTATAATCAATGGCCGAATGGTTCATAAATAACATACTTGATTTCTCAGGCTCAATGCTTGGCTGTAGCAAACTCCCACAATGTGTACTTTTAACCTTGCTTGAGCAGACAGATGAGCACTGGAATCTACCCTCCAAAGGGGATTGAAGAGAACTGAAACAAATAACATTAGACGGTAAAAGCAGATCAGGGGAGGTGAATGATTTGAGATGAATCATATGAAGAAAACCTGTGTTGAGGAAGCTGCTTTGAAACTGTTACTTATTTTCATAACTTAACTACCTCTACGTCACACTTTTTGAAGTAAATGGTTTGATTTGAAGCTATTTAAGGGAGGTCTCAATTTGACAACTTGAATAGATAAATTTACGCTTGACCGAATAAAACTAGAAAAATGTTTTTAGGAACCAGTTCATTTACATATGAACCAATCGAATTAATCATTCACTAAAATGTTTTGGAATGAAAACGCTTGTTTTGTCATGCTACACCACTACTTGTTGGAAAAAGTAGCGTGATACTGGAAAAACTACTGTTTTGAACACAACCAAGCTGCTGAAAAATGTTGTTAGAAGTTTCACTACCTTTAGTTAGTTCCGTCCCAATACCTATCCTCACGGTGACCTATAGATGTCACAAATAAAGACTTTATTAACTGACCCTTGGACAGTAAGATGTGTAATGGGTCTGTAGTTTACCTCGGGCTCGTTACGAGAATTACAGCCCTGTTTCAGTCTGAACTGTAAATATTCATGTCCTTGGAGCAGGCCGAGACATGATCTCATTCGCTTCTGCCAGGGCATCTCGTGTAGGCACAGACTCTGCAGATGTAAATCACCGTTTACTTCATTACATAATTAGCTGTGTTTCCTTGGGCCCTGGAGAAATTAGGTGAAACACACTGGTTACTGTGTGCCCTCTGTGCTCTATTGAGCTGGAGAAACCCGCCAAGTGAAGCTTATTTCCTCCTCCTGTTTGCAGAGGAGATTGTTTGGAGATCCTGTTGAATCTCTTGGACAAATTGAACTTGTGTGCACATCTAAATTATAGAACATTTCACAATTTAGAAAGCCTTTTCTTGCATTTATCATATCATTGCACCTTTATTTGCCTCTTCAGTGATTTCCGGGTGATTGGATTTCAACACGGATGGAAAGATGGCAGATATCATTGAACGGTTTGTTCAAAACCGCTCCGCACAATAGCGCTCCAAGGTAAAGTGGAAAAAGAGAAGCTCTTGTTTATGAAAGGGGTGTGTAAAATTAGAGCAGGTGCAGAAGTAGATCATACTTGCAGTATAATGTCTTTATTGTGGACTCCCTTCCTGTTAACATGTTTGCTCTGACAAGGTGTGATACATTTGATGCTTTTCTCAGTTTGTTTTAGGAATCAGATAAATATTGAATAGTCTGCTGTTAAAGGAATGGAGTTCAATGATTAACGTGTTTTTCTCTAAAACAACTTTCAATTAATTTGAGGGTCCAAGACATAATGATGTAACAGCATTGTGTGTGTCATTTAACATCACACGCACCTTGGAATCTACTATGATAATCCTGACATTTTATAGGATAATAGGAAGGCATCTTGGGTTGAGATGGTACAGGAATCTGTTTCTGTGAGTTGCTCCGCTGCTGCCAATAATGATGTGCCCATAAAGAAATTCTGCCAATAATGAACCAACAATGTTTTTATTTTATTTTATTTTTAATTTATTACATTTTTCATATTTTATTTATTTATATAACTTTATAATAATTTTTTTTAATTATTTGTACTAATTTCCGAAAATGTTACAAAGCTTACAATTAATAAAAGTTTTTACAGTGCATATGCAGTTTGAGCAAATTCTGCTTTTTATTTTGCTGACAAATTCGTTTTTCATTGAGCAATTTCTAAAATATCATGACTGGATTGAATCATTACTCGAATCAGTTAAAACGTCATACATCCAACATCACAAATTGCTCAATTGAATAAAATCAGTGGTCTTGAGGGATATTTTTGAAAATGTTGAAAACGAATATTCTGCTCAATATTATCGGCTGAAATTTCACTATAGGCAATAATAATAATTTCATTATATATTTTATATACTGTATATGGTGCACCTCTAGAACTTGAAAACCTGACAACAAGAGTCAGACAAAAGAAAAACTCACAGAATCCCAACGGTGTGTATATGTGCATTTGTAGTTCACGCTTCATTCGAAAGCCTCTCATTAGGAGCACAGGAAGCTTGTCCGTGTGCCAGTTAAGTGTTGGTGTGAGTAGGACCAGTGTGGCCTCTTGTATTCACTGGATTACACACCTAATCAAATCACCTGCTTGTTTATACGCTCAGTACTCCTGCGTCAGAAAAGCAGCTCCGCTTCATTCATACCGTCCGTTTTCCTTTGAGGACCTCCAAACAATATCCATAGCAAGCCCAGCGGTCTGTGCTTTCCTCCCAAAGGCAGGCTGCTGGATTTGAGTTTCTCTTTCTTGTTGGACTCAAAATCCGCATGCTTTAGGAATCCTCTCATGTTCAGAAGCAGCGATTGATTTGTTTAGAGCTGGTGGCATCATAATGACCCCAAAAGTGGAGGGAGCTGACTTACATTTTCCGCTCTGTTATACTTGCATTATTGGAGTGTGGCTTTCCTGAATGCGCTGGCTGAGAGTTTGTGGATATTGCATTACAACAATATTGTCTCTGTATGCGCTTAGTTGTTCGCCGAGAGACAGACTACAAATGGCCGGGTTGCTGCTTGTTTAAATGCTCCCAAGCATTGCTAATGCCTGGATTATCTCCTAGAGAAATTATTTAGTGAAAATAATGGCTTCACAATGGCCCCACTGCAGCAGATATAAGCACCAACCCAATAACCAGTCCTCTGAGAGAGTGTATTGAGTGTGGCAGTAATAATGCCCTATACCCTCAGAAAAAAATATATCAATACAAGAAATAAAAAGCTGTTTTTTTATTTATTTATTCCAAAGCTGACTTGTGCTGAGCACACCTGATGCTGAATCCGGAAAAAAAATGGCAAACATGGGTTTGGAAACACTTTTCGTTTCCTGCCAGAAGTGCAGAGATCATCAGAAATATTGGCATAACTTCACCCAGCTCATTGTCTCCGGTCGGAGCCCCTCCATCCCCGCTCCATGTTTACGCTGAGACACTCTGCCTGCCTTAGGATCAGATATGACATCATTTTGCCACAGCTCACAGGCCACACACGAGGCGTAAAGAGGGAACAATTGACCAGGGGGGACGCAGGAAGAGCCGACTGACCTGATTGCTCCGCTGGCCGAGCAACTGGGAAGGAAAACCCAAGGCGGAGCCGTGGATCTGGGGAGGGGTGATGGTGGAGGACAGTGCCCTCTGTCACCCTCCCCTCCTCTTGGATGCAGTGTTCGCGATCGCCCTGCCTTCTGCCGTTCTCCTGCCTGTCTGCTTGTCTGAGCCAAAGCAGATTTGAAAAATGATCTACAATCTCTGGCTGTATCAGCTTCCAGATATAGACGTTCCTGATAGGCCAAATCCCCTTTAAAGAGGGCTTTATCCCGCTCACTGAAAAGCCACAGAGAACAGCACATTCTTTTATCTCTGCACCTCAGTATGTTCTAAGTATGCGCTGCGTTTTGAGCTGCGACACCAATCTGTCCCGATCGGCTTGTGTTCGGTTAACATGGTAGTGCTTATTGTTTAAATGTTAGTACAATCTACATCGCATTGATCGGTCTTAATTATTAGATGCACAGCTGCTGCCTAAATATGAATCAGATGGATGTTTCATCTATTTATAGATAGACAGCTGGAAAGGGCATGATGCATATGACCTACCACATGTTAATTTCCATATAGAGAAAGAAGACACCAGTGTACTAAAACTTTGAAAGGAGAAACACTTCTCTGGAGAAAATAGAGCATGTTATTTTATAACTATATACATTGCATTCATTTATAAAGTGCATTTAATTTGATATTATAGTTTTTGTTGTTTTTATCAATAATAATACTACTAGTAATTTTATTAAAATATTTTGGTTATATATTAATATTTTATATTAAGCTTAATATATATTTTAATATATTTTAAATAAAAGTAAACATCAAGTAGTGCTAATAATAAGAATTTTTTTTTTATAATAATAATAATAATGTCAGTATTTTTTCTGTCATACTTTGTCTTAAGGTTTAATCTTTCCAAAAATGCAAACTGTCGGTCCCTCATGTCATTCTAAACCTGTATGCATTTAAAATGATATTTTGAAGCATGTTTAAGCTGTAAATTTTCCAAACAATGAAAGTCAATGGGGTCCATAACACTGGACATTGATTGAATGGGTCATTTTTTTCCCCCAAAAATATTTCAGTTTTCTTTTGCATTGCACAGAAGAAGAAAAAAACGCATAAAGGTTTAGAATATGGAATTCTAAATACTATTTAGAATAGTAAATGATGACAAGTTTCCGTTTTGAGTGAACGGTTCTTTTAAGACCCCCTGGAATATTTGTACCCATGGTTGGGGATTGCTGAACTAAGGAAGTTGTGTCCCAACCAATGTAAACCTACATTTTATTTGAGGACAGGGAACAAAAGCCTGAAAATAGATGACAAACCAGAGCGTATAAATACAGCGAGGGGCAATTGGGTGCATTTGTTTGTGTATGTTTGCGTTTGGGTTAGAGATTGCGATAGCCCTTTCCTCCTAAAGAGATATGTTTTCAGTGCAAAGAGCCGATTCCCGTGAGGCGGGTGATCCTTTTTAATGACAGGGATTCATCTGTTAGCATCCCTCAGGCCCCACGCGGCTCCCAGTAGCCCACAGAAAATGGGCGGCAGCCTCAGGAGAGCGCACCTCCTCAGCCCCTCAAGATGCCGTGTGGGAGTTTTAATTACTCCTGCAGCCACAAACCGCAGCTTACGTGGTCTCATTACTACAAATGCCTTCATTCTCTGCTGTTTTTAATCATTTTTAGGCAAAAATATCACACCGGAGATGCCGTGCCAAAATGAGAAATAGAATGAGAGCGGAAAGCAAGAGATTGCTCTTGTGAGGGGGGTTGGGTTGGTTGTGTGTGTGTGTGTGTGAATAGGGGGTCGAAGTAAGGGTACTAGCCTTCAGGGAGGAGAGGGAGCTTAGAGACAGGACTTTGGATTACTAACTCGACAAAAAGGACTAAACATCTATTCAGTCAGATCTTTCTGGTCTTTAGGGCCTATCTCTGCTGCTTTAATGAACTTATTTAGACTCTGTTTAGTTCATCCACCAATACTTAGAAGAATTAGGCTACAATTTGTCTCCTCATATTTGTTTAAGACTTTAAATTGTCACCACTTGGAGTAGCCCGTGATTTAAAATAATAGTTTGAGTAAAACCAGATCATCCATGTTATTTAGGATTATTTGAGATGTTCTAAAGAGCATCTTGTGCAGATTTCAAGCTTTCATTGATCAATAGTTATGTTCCAATTTGCTAATTTAATTAGAAAATTGCAGATATGATCTAGCTAATAAAGCAGCATTTTCATGTTATGCAGCAACAGATTTCTTATGGGAGCTATAGCATGTCGGACAGTTCTGCCAGGGAATAGTGGCGAATTATTCACACAATTCTTGTTAAGGCAAAGTCATGTCTTTTTTTAATACTCATCTGGAAATGTATTGCAGTAAATGTGTTTCCATCAGTTTATATACTGTTTTTTTTTTTACATTTGGAAATGTATTTTGGAATTATATTTTGTATTGTGGTGTTTCCATCCTCCATTTTATGCAAACTTTTCATTAAAAAAAACATGCATTTAAATATCTTTTTCAAATGCATACACATGCGCGCACACACCATACAATTCTATTGTTTAAATATTTTAATGATTTTAATTATTATTATTTTAATTATATATGTATTTTTTTCTGTCATAATTTATATTTTATTTTGTGGGCAAAAATTTTTTTGTGTTTTCCCCTTGTTTAGTGGTTGCATAATACAAAATGGATGGAATCCGGCTAATGTCATACATTTGCTTATTTGATTAGTGACCTAGAAGTAGTCCAGAATCTGATATATTTGTATTGATTTTACATTATAAGTTAAAATAAAAAAGCATTCTGCCTATTTCTAGGGTAAAATTTTCATCAGATTTTTTCTATTCTCAAACCACAATGTGTAACTCCTCATCAAAAAGCAGTCCACATGCATCCTTCCTTGCCATATTGTTTGCGCTGTTAGATGTGCCAAGACCATGCACTAATGTTTGTTAGTTAAATGTACTCCCTGTGAGGTAATGAGTGGCAACCCACCCAATACATGCTGCGTTCTCCTTTTAATTACCATTAGTCCACTAGCTGTTGTCTAATGAGGTCATGTCAATATTGAGCCTTATACTTCCCTCGGCCGTTAGGAGCTTCTAGAGAGCAGACACACTGCCCTCCTCACAGACTGGCCAATGATCTGATTTTGTGTATTTATTCATGTCTTCACTGCCAATCTGTTAAAAGCTTTCTGAAAGGGTTTGTCATCTGTTCTACATAAGTAAACACCCTTCTGATGGTTACACTTGCAATTGGATCTGTCTGAAAGAGACTCTTCCTTCCCTGTCTTGTGTCTCTCGCTTTCTCAGCCATGTTACTGGCTGTAACCCTGCTCTCAGGGGCCTGCTCTGGGTGGCTGCTGTCTGAATCAAGGGGAATTTCTGCAGACATTGTGCAGACTCTCAGATCATTACCAGCCTCCCTCACTGAGTCTTTGCCCCCCCTCCCCTCCCTCCGCATGCTTGGGCAGACACGTGGTGTTCTGTCAATGTGAAGACCAACCACCAAACAGTGTGCCTCCTGACGTAGCACCATGCAGAGGACAAGCTGACTGTCACTCCTCCGCTTGTCTGTCCCTCCTCCCCTCACTGTGTCATCTTAAATCTGTTCATCTGTTAACAAAGCATCAGACAGCTTATTATGAAGGTGTGAAAAGCAGAGAAAATCACTCACCATTCCTGCATTGAGACACTGTGTCTTTTTAGTGTGACACTGTGAAAAGCCAGTTTCAGTGAAAGCATCTAAATAATACCACAAATCTTTTGTGTTCCATTTTTGCATGCATTACACTGGAAAAAAATACATTTTATTAATATATATTTTTGCCACGTTTTCCTGTAAAAATATCAGATATTTTATTTTAGATGAATACATAAAAAAAGAAAGAAAGAAATATATTTGTATATATATATTGAATTAAGGTATTAATGTTTATTTATAAAAAAAATAGGCTACATTTTATGTAATATTTATTTTATGGAAAGAAATGTATGCATATGTATAATAAAATTAATAAAAAAATTAAGAATTATTGTATGTATGTGTGTGTGTATACATACCGGTCCATACATATATATTTAATTATTTATATAAAATGTATATTTAAATCATGTAATCATGTTAGTAAAAAAACTATTATTACAATATTTTACATTACATAAAAATGCCTTTAAAATGCTCTCTTTCTGTTTAAAATATTCTTAAATGTATTATTATTATTAATTATGCATTTTAAATTACAATTTAAAATATATAATATTTAAGTAAAAATTAAAATATTAAAATAAATATTGCAATATTTTGTATTAGATATTTATTTTAGATTACATTTTAGATTTTTACTATTTAAAACATAATTTAATACATTTAAATAGTTCAAATCAAAACTTTATTTTTATTAAATGTATAATATCTATCCAAGTAAAAATAAATATATTGAAATAAATATAATACAATATTTTATATTAGAGGAAAGCATTAAAACCTCTCTCTCGCTCTCTCTCTCTCACTCTCTCTCTCTCTCTCTCTCTCATATATATATAAATATAAATAAATATAAAAAATACTGATAATACGAAAGGTGTTTTGTAGTGCAAATGAGACTTTATAGAAAAGTGTTTGCATGTGTCTTGGAAGAGCATCCTGGCCAGTTGTCTTCTGCATCCTAACTGAACAGCAACACGGGAGCTTAAGTTTCAACCTGCGCCGTGGCCCTGTGTGCTTGGGCCCCTGCCAGGGTTCAGAGGTCACACTTGTGAGGCATGTGTGTGGAAGGGGGACTCAGTTTGGGGGCCCCAGCTTCATACAATGTCCGTCAGCAAATCTCTTTGTTTTCTCTCCTCTTAGCTGCTCAAGTCCCCACTCTGTATCCAAGGAAATGTTGCCAGGGGAGATGAGTCCGGGTAACGGTACAAGAACCTAGGGGTATGCGCGGATGCTCTGTTTGCCTTGATAAATGCATGGTGTCCAATACATGCCTGATTATTTTGCTGCCGCTTCTTTTTTTCCCCAGGTCCTTTTGCCTTTGCTGCTCCTTGGGGACCCATGCATTCTGTGTACATGTGTGTGCGAGCTGGTGCGTGCATGTGTGAGTGCTTCCATATGTCTAGACAAGAGTGGAATCCCAGGGGCCCCACACGTTTAGACTCAGGATATTAAATGACCTAATGGCCATGCTGTTTGTGTAGGTTTCATTTAGAGAATCTGGCGAGAAGCATTAAATCATAATGAAGAGGGTATGCATTTTGATGGAAGGCAGAGGGCTGCATTGGGAAGCTTGTCCAGGTATAGCTTCGGCTAAGACTGCTGCATAAAACCCTCATTGAAAGCTTCAGACTGTGACCTAAGCGCACAGACAAGTTTGAACAGCCAGACGTAGACACGACATGACCAGAGCTTGAGGTGCACGCTCAGACCTCTCCGAGAGTAAGAAAAATTATTAAAAACTAAACAAGACAGGACAGACATCCTCACTCGCTCTGTTATAAGAATCAAATCCCTTTAAGAGCCCCAAATAAAACACTTTTGCTGGTCTTGTATAAACTTGGATGAGTAGGTATGTCATTGCGTTTGGATTGGGGACTGTAGCATCAGGTGAAATCTGAAACATCATTTTGCTGAAGTCTGAGCCTCATTAAGATTGCGACTGAGACTTCTTTTCAGACACT